TGACCACGTGAGGCTTTAGAGGGATGTCTAGACCCAGACCATAACAGATGTCTCTAACTTTGGGGAAGATACCTAGAAGGGAAAGACTTTAGTCAAATGGAATTTCTAGTTTTAGTTTTTTGAGAAATTTCTATACTGATTTCTATAGTAGTTGTACTGGTTTAGATTTCTACCACCAGTGTAGAAAAGGGTTCTTTTTTCCCCTGCAGCCTCACCAACATTTGTTTTTATTTGACTTCTTGATGATAGCCATTCTTTCTGGGGTAAGATAGAATCCAATTATTTTATATAACTATTGTACTGATATGTTGTATGTACATTATGAAACATATCCCCAAGTAGAAATTAAAATGGTGAAATTAATTACATCAAAAGCTGAAGAGAATACCAAGTGTGATGAGTCTTGTGTAACTATTAAAGTAGGGCAGAGATTAAAAAATCTCCCCAGAGAAGATAACACCAGGCCAGATGATTTTATAGATGAGTTACATGAAACTTTTAAGAACATACTCTACCAATTCTTTACAAGTTCTTTTAGTAATAGAAAAACCAGATGTTCTCTAGCTTGTTCTATGAGGTTCTTATAACTTGGATAACAAAGTTAAAGAAGCTATTAGACAGAAAAAAGTATAATCTCATCATGAACTAGTTATAAAAATTCTAGACAAGGGCTGGAGGTGTGGCTTGGTGGTAGAATGCTTGCCTGGCTTATAGAAGGCCATGGGTTCCAGTTCCAGTACTGGAGAAAAATACTCTAGGCAAAATACTAGCAGGTAGGATAGTTTTAAAACAGTAGGGGCAACTTTTGTTCATTCTAGGAGCACAGGTTATGTAGTATCACTCTGCATGGTGGCCCTGGAGCTGGCCTGTGTCTGCATCCCAGTCCTGTGGCCTCTGTATGCCTCCTGACCCTGGCCTACAGAAAAATTAAAAACTTCTTCACAGACTTGTGAGGCACAAGTGGATTCTGTAAAGTGATTGGAATAGTACTCAGCACAAAGCAAGTATTACATGAGTGAGTGCTGATTTTGCTACCCTTATGATTAATTACTGTATTAAGGGACTTTAAACAAGACATGTTACCTCAAAGTAGATGCCTCCCTCTTCTAAAGATTCCATAATAAGTATTTTTTTAAAAATGAAACTCTCAGCAGAGTAAAAGAGCATTTCCTTAATCTGACAGGATTTTTACTAAAAACAAGACAAAAAAAAATCAAGCCATCATTCTAAAAAATTATTGGAAATATACTCTAAATCATGAAGAAGTATGATCACCCTCATGTCTTCTATTTAAGATTGCATTGGTCCCATCCAGAGCTGTGGCTTCTAAAAAAGGAAAGGGGGATAACACTACTGTAATTTGAAAAAGTATTCCTGCTTAGGAAACCAAAACAGTGTATAAGCAAGACAAATTCAAGCTGGATGCAGTGGTGCACATCTGTAATCCCAGTATTGGGGAAGATTACCAAAAGTTGGAGGCCAGCTTGGGCTACATAATGAGTTCAAAGCCAGCCTGGGCTACATAGTGAGATCCTGTCCAAAAAAAAAAGAAATTCAGCAAGGGAAATTTGGCAGCATGGCTAGGTATAACATCAGTGTACAAAACTTAGCTGAATTTTTCTATCTCAAACAGTAAGAATTTACTAGATATAGACATATAAATAATAAAATCTAGATGTAAATTTAGCTATATGTACATGGAAAACCTTTATTGAAGGACATTAAATGGTAAAGAGGGCTGCCTTCACAAAGGGAAGACTCACTATTATAAAGGTATTGGTTCTCAAATTAATGTATAAATTAATATACATTTCATTGATTCTAAAATTTATACAGAAAAGCAAAAGTCCAGAAATCACTGAGATACCTTTTTTTCCTCGCCTGTGCTGGGAATGAAACCCAGGGCCTTGCACATGCTAGGCAAGCTCTCTGCCACTGAGCTGTGACCCACCCCCGCCCATTGCTACCCCTCTAAGACATCTATAAAAAAAGACGGTATGAGAAAGGATACATTCTACCAATTATAGAGACTGAAAGTATGTATGTAATGTAACAGATTAAAATGTTAAGAGTATTAGATCCAAGAGAGATGTTCTAGTCAGTGGAATAGACTCAGGAATCTAGGAAAAGACCCTCACATATGAGGAAGTACAGTGATATGTTTTTTACATGTACATGGATCCATCATTTTATTACATGGAATTAAAATTAATTAAAACTTGGTTTTATTCCTAACCATCATTTGTGAAAAAAAATGGATGAGGGGCTGGGGATTTAGCTCAGCGGCAAAAGCACCTGCCTGGCAAGCGCAAGGTCGTGAGTTCGGTTCCCGGTACCGGAGAAAAACAAAACAAAAAAAAAAGGATGAAAACCAGTATCAAGTACAATTGCATTTATAATAAATGTAGGTAAATATCTTTCTAATCTTGGGGTGGGAGCCATGTTAAACAAAACTCACAAGTGAAGGCTGGTAAATTTAGGTGCATTAAGAATTTTTTGTTTGTTTTTATGGTTTTGTTTTTTTGTTTTTTGTTTTTTTTCCGGTACCGGGAATTGAACTCATGACTTGCGCTTGCCAGGCAGGCGCTGTGCTGCTGAGCTAAATTCCCAGCGCCAAGAATTTTTTTTTGTAAAAAAAATTAAAGAAAATGTAAACGCCACCTACAAGCTGGGAGACAAAACCTCAGGCATGTAACCAACAAAGCATTGATAACAAAAATATATAAAAATGGTAAATCATCAAGGAGAAGGCAACTTGTTAAAAAAATGGATAAAATTAGGAACAGGGCTTTTACAGAAAATTCAAGGTCAGAGAAGCACATGAAGTGGTGCTCAGCCTGGTAGTGTTCAGGGAAAGGCCAGGAAAACCACAGTGGGGTGCTGTTTTACACCTTGGTGAATCATAAAAACCCAGACATGTGACAGTACAAATGTCAGAGAGGATAAAGCTCTGAGATTCTTTTTATACTCCTGGTTTGAGCTGGTGTTATTACTTTGGGAAACAGTTTGGCATTAACTTTCAGGAAATCTGCCATCCAGCAGTTCTATAGATAAGATCTGGTATGTATATTAAAATGCCTACAGCAAAAAACTGCTCGAACAATCAGCAGTCTAAGAGTGCATCCACAGAACGGGTCTGTGACTTACAGTAGAGTCCCACAGAGGAATAGATGCAGCCATTCAGACCTTGGACTACAGCCTCTGAACAGCTCTAACTTAATGTCCAGTGAAGACAGCAGAAAAGTTGATGGGCTGAACATGTTAGGAGTAGAGTTACAGACTGTTCCGTTTATTTAATGAAATACTCTATGATTAGAGCTATGTCCATGTGGATTTTAAGAAAGCAGATTGCTAATATACACAATATCTAGCTGCATGGTACAGTGAGAATAAGCTTGTAAACGTGTTGCACAGCACCATTTGTGGTTGCACAGAGTGTATTAATGCAGTAAATACATGAATGGAAATAATTGCCTAACTCAGGTTGGTGATCACCTTCAGTGAAGGAATGTGGAGAATGAAGGAATGTAGAGTTAACTGTTACACCACTTTTTTACTGATAAAAACAACTAAAATAGAGCTGAGCAGTGTTATTCTTTGTACATCTCTGATCTAATGCCTATGAGGACCAGCTGTTATATATACAGAAGCTAGTCTGGCCCATTGTACTACACTCCTATGTATGTATATCTTTGTTGGTGGTGGGTTTTTTGTTTTTGTTTTTGATAACAGGGTCTCATTCTGCAAGCTGGTCTTGAACTCACTGTATAGTCCAGGCTGGCCTTGAACTTGTAACATTCCTCCTGCCTCAGCATCCCTAGCACTGGGGTTACAGGCATGTGCCACCACACCCACCTTTTTTTTTTCATTTTTTCAGACAAGGTCTCACTTTACGGTTCAGGCTCTCCTTGAACTCACTGAGTAGCCCACTCTGGCCTCAGACTTCTGCTGATCCTCCTGTCTCAGTTCCTGAATGCTGGCATTATAGGCTTGCACCGCCATACCTTGCACCTGTTGTATATTACCTATGGCTGATTTTGCCTTACAGAGTTTTCAGTCCTTGTTAAATGCAGTATATCAGAGGTTCCCACTGAGGGACTATCAGGAAGCCGTAAAATATTGTAGCTTATTGACTATGTAATATAACTGAGACATTAAAGAAGATATTTTCCTAAACTTCATGTTGAAAATTAAACTCACTCATTGTGTAAGTAAAGACTACTAATGAGCTAGCTGTGGCAGTACGTGCCTATAATCCTAGTACTCTGGGAGCCTGAGAAAGGAAGACAGCAAGTTTGAGTCCAACCTGGGCAACTTAATGATTTATCAAGACCCTGTCTCAACATAAAAAATGACTACAGAAGTAGCTCAGTGCAAATGCCCTATATTTTATTCCCAGTACTACCAAATATGTGTGTGTGTTTATTAAATATGAAAAGGATCTCACACAGGTCACTGGCATTAAAACAGGGCAATGATGGTGTGAGAGTGTTAGAATTATACCTATGGAAGCATCATGGCCCTGGAATGCCATCCAGCAAAGAAAAATATTTCCCTGGCAGTCCACAAATCTTCGTCTGGTTTGGGGTCTCTGTGGCCACCTGTCCTCTCACAGACTGGTTTACCCTTGTTTGCTTGTACTTCTGTTTTGTCAGAATAGTGTCAGTGGAAATGCTTTCAAAAGCTTTTATGTTAATGTTGCTACTGCTTTATAAACAGGTCACCAGGGAAGCTTTTGCATGCTCTGCGTCATGCAGAACCACATCGTCCAGGCCTTTGCCAACAGTGGTAATGCTATCAAGCCCGTCTCCTTCATCCGCGACCTGAAAAGTAAGAGTGGACTCTTGGTTTGGGTGCTTGCCAAATGGTAGCTCTGTAGTCATTGCTGCTGAGTTGGTGAAAGGGAGGAGACTGTTATAAAAGTCTTAGGAGTCCTTATTGGCTAATGGTCCAACATTGAGCCTTGCACACCAAAGGCATGGTAGTGGAGATGCACATGGACTGGGGAGTTGCATTAAAGGAAAGCTTTGTGGTCTACGTGGGGCATGGCCCCTGCCTTAAGGACAGGTGAGTTTTGACCAGGTAGAGGGCGTGTGGTGTACTTAAGACTGGCAAATGAGTGTGAGGGATACTGGGAGAGCAGGAGGATGGGAATTTTCCAAGTCCTTTCTGAGCATTAGAGGAACCAGCCACCACATGCTGTGGAGATCTGATTTCCCAGTCACTTGGTAGAAAAGATGCATTCATGGTTTTTTGGAGCCTAAATTATAGACTGACATGGTTAGATTCCATTGAGTTCTGTGTTGGATCTTGGAAAACTAGTTCATCAGTAGAATTTTACATTCTTTTTTTGTTTGGGAGTGGAGGCATCTTACCATGTTGCCCAGGCTAGCCTCAAACTCTCAGGCTCCACTGATCTTCCAGTGGAGTTGAAACTGCAGGTGTGAACCACTGCACCCAGCCAGACCTATGTGTTAGGTCTCACTGAGCAATTAACTGCCATACTGAATAGAGATTGGGCTATAGAACATGATGCAGAGTGCTTAGTTTCCTCACGTTGTGCTGTAAAAGAATGGTCTCTTTTCCCCTTGTGACTGAGCAGTTGACTCCGAGGCAGGCAGCACTGTTCTCCACTCCTTTTTTCCTTCCTCAGAGATTGCCCGCCACTTCCGCTTTGGGAACCAAGAGGATGCACATGAGTTTCTCCGGTACACCATCGACGCCATGCAGAAAGCCTGCCTGAATGGCTATGCCAAGTATGTGCTTAGCCTCTCCTGCCCTTCCCAAGGGACTACTACCGACTCCTTCTTTACAGTGGAGACAGTCAGCTCTCACTCACCTATGAGGCTTCCTCTACAGATGAGGCAGAATTTTCATGTATGCATGGGCCACCACTGATGCCCAAATAGGGGATGCTCTGGGAGAGGATTGTGTCCTGCTGCATCCTTGTGGCTGGCCAAGGGCCATGTAATTGGATCAGGTGGCAGGGCCAAGGAGTAGTAGTAGCTCTATCCTAAGCAGCCCAAAGAAGAAAAGTGATTCAGCAGATCTGTAAGGAGTGAGTTCTGGTTGTGGGCCCTTGGTCTTTCTGAAATCACTTTACTGCTTTGATAGAGGATGGGGTAGTAGGAATTAAAAGGTCTCTATGTAAGAACTTATCTGCATATAGGAGAACTTAAGGTTATAAGTTTTACAGTTTCACTCTACTCCTACTTTCTGTTTCTTCAGATTTAGAAGGGTAAAACATATTTGTGTAACCGTTGATTATTGCATGGGTTCTCATGTATTTACCTGCCATTATTGTCAAGTGCTTTGTGTTGTCCCTGGGGCTATGGTTCAGCTGAGACCAGGCAGGGAATGCTTGGTTCTCCTGATTCTCATTGGAGCTTGGAAGAGAACTAAAACCTGTACCTTGAAATATCTGAAATAGCTTAGGAAACTTCTAGGTTGTCCTTAGAACTGTTCAATTGTAGCACTGAGGGTTTGAAATGGGAACACCACTTGCTTCAGAAGGTGAGATTCTTAGGTAAATAAATCATATATAAAGAAAATTTCAAGTTACATGAAGAAAATTTGTCACCAGATTCTTGGATGCTGGTTGCCTGTTCAAAGGGTGTAGTTACATGCTCTTCCTGTCCCCTAAGAGGACATGAGCTCTTGCTCATGCACACGTGTGTGCACGCACACACACACAGACTGGGTCTGCCCTTTTATGTGCCATCCCTTGGTGAGATGCTTGCTCCAGTAGTTGTTTGTTGACCTGTTGTATGCCTGACACTGAATTCAGCTCTGGGAATCTAGAGATTAAAGATGTCTTTAAGTCTAAGGATCTTACGGTGCAGCATTTCCTCATCTTGTGGGAAGCATGGTCTTGGAAAGACTGGAGAGCACAGCCAGGGCATGGGAGGTTGGAGTGATGTAGACTCTTCCAGCAGGGAAGATCAGGAGGGAAGAGTTAGGCAAGGGCGGGCCTGGTATGAATGTGGTGTCTCAGCCCTGCAGTGGGGTATGGGGGTCTGCTCTAGTGGCTGACCCTGGCACAGGGCATGGTCACCTTGAGAGTTTAGGACAGGAACTGGCATGTGGGCCCAGGCCAGTTAGGTGATGTCTGCTGGTGGAAGAAGTTGGGGAGGGCTGGATAGGTAGGGGGTGGGTTGGATTTGCAGCTGTTGTGGGAAAGGAGCAGGTGTGCGGTCTGAGCTGTTGGCTAGCACCTGGCACAGGTAGACAGGGGAGGGAGGCCATGTGTGCGATGAAAGCTGGATGGCCAAAAGGAGATGGGATGCTCACTGCATACCCATCCATGAGGGTTTCCACTGGTTTCTAGTGAAGTATAATGGGTAAGAAAAAAGTATCACAAGGGTCAGCTTTACATTGCTAAGAATCATTTGGAATATCAGTTCGCGGGCAAACAGCCCTTTACAGTTTTTGCTAGTGGTAGTGATTTTGGTACTGCTTGCATTGTGATCAGAGTGTGTTTGTGATCAGAGTGTGTTTATAATATTTCTGTGGAACTTCCTGGTGAACTTCTGGTGTTTTCCCTGTGACTTGGTAAATATACAGTCAGTATTTGCAATTTGTGCCCTTGAGACTGTCTATTCTTACACCATCGGGGTATGTTGTTTCCTGTCTGGGTCTTTAAGATCTGTGCAGTTAATTGCATTGCGTTCGTCTTCTGGCTGTGTCCATGGTCACCTCCTCCTATGCTCTGTGATGCTCTGAGCTCATGCTGCTTCTGTGTTTTGCTTTGTGCTGGCACTTGTGGGTGGATGCTCACTCTGCTCTGTCTTTGTTGAGAATTGTTGCCCTAGCATTAGGAAGTGTCTTTGTCACAGTCTGTATTTTTTGGCTCTGTCCTTTGCCCGTGTTGGAACTGTACCCCTTCTCTGGGAGGTTTCCTCCTGCCCACACACCTCTGCTCATCCCATCCCTCTGAGCACTGTTTTAGGTACCTAAGGTTTGGTCTGCAGAGGCCAAGTCAAATGTCTTTAACAGGCAAGTCAAGCCCTTTCAGTGTATTGTTACAACTGAAAAGGTTGTTCTTAACTCTCATTATTATATCTCACAGTTATTACAATGGCATATTTGCTGTGCTGTTTCTGTTTGATTACCTATTTTTAAAATTTCTTTTATTGTTTGGGAAGATCAGCATATTTGTTCCAGTGACTCCTTTGTACATCTCCCCTTTTTAAATGCTTTGGTCCTATGTTCTCAACTCTTGTGTGCTAGTTGGTTAGTTTCAGCAGTACTCTATAACTCTTCCCACTTCCCTGTTCTTCTCTCTTGTCACTGTAGTGTGCGTCACTTGTTGCTGGAATGGATAGGCTTTGTGTCCTTTCCTTATACCATCATCACCCCGCTTTTGTTTGTCCTTAGGTTGTTTCAGATGACCAGTGCTTGCTGGTGTTCCCTGTGTGCTCATGCCAGGCTGCCTACCCTCTGATATGCTCAAGAACAGCAGTACAAAGAATGTCCCTGATTTGAGATGTAATTCACTTGATGTTGTAGTTATTTGCTTTTTTCATTTGGAGGCCTTGAGAATTGGGAGGGGGGTGTTTTGTTTTGGAGACAGTGTCTTATTCTGTAGTCCAGACTGGCCTTGAATTTGCTATGTAGATCAGGCTGGTCTCAAATTCATGATCCTCCTGACTAGATCTCCCCAGTGTTAGGATTATAGGTATGTGATACTGCCTTTTTTGAAAAAAAAATCTTTAAAGCCTGATGTTTTTTCCTAGCCTATGTTTTACAGCTGATTATCTAATTTTCCCCTAACCACATTGTCACCTGACCAAAGAAATTTACAAGTTGAATCTATGGCATAGATTAAAATATGTACAGAAATATGTACAAAAAAGCATTACTAACCTAGGACTCAGCCTGCAGCAATGGTCAAGTGGTGTCTGAACACTATTGCTTCTGGATTGGTGCCATTTTAAATGCTGTGGTTTAAAAATGTGGAGCAGTCCACCCAGGAGGTCAGCTTTATAAATCAGCGTGTTGTGCTGCCAAGTGTGGCCTAAGGGATCTGTTACCAGGGAAAGTGATCTTCCTGTGATGACATTCAGCATTCATTGGGAGGTCACTGTCACATGGCAAAGCACTGGTGGTCCTATTTTGTTAGTTTTGAGGGCATTTACTGGCTTGGGGAAGATCCCTTGTTCTAGTTTTATATTTGTTGTTACATTGTACTAAGTTCCCTTTCAACTACTTTCTTTTGGCTGCCCTATCTTCAATGTGTGTTCATTCCCTGGTGGTTTTCTTGCTTTGTAGTGCCCTGTATCGATTCTGTAAATCTTTTCTTCTTTGGACAGTTCATACTGCTGTCTTCATTTCTGACATGTGTGAAATGTTCTGTTCCTTTCCAGAGTTCAGTTTTCTCTCTTTACTTTTATTTTTAAAATTTTTGAGCTGGGTGTGGCGGTACATGCCTGTAATCCCAGCATTCAAGAGACTGAGGCAGGAGAGTTGCTGCAAGTTTGAGGCCAGCCTGGGCTACATAGTGAGACTGTCTCAAAAAAATTTCTTTTTTATTCAGAGTGATTTTTCATATCCCTACTGCTATCAGGATGTTTAATTCATTGTGGAATCTGTGGTGTTTTCTTCTGCTTTGTGCCTGCTTCCTGGGGATAGTTTTCATCTGATGAATGTTTTACATATTGTTTGTTGCTATTTTCCCCTTGCCCCTCGGCCTGGCTAAGGCCACCATCCTCTCTGTGGGTCTGTGAATCTCAGGCTTTTGAAGCCACAGCCCCTCCTCCATCAGCACAGCAAGGATATTTTCTTGAACTAATAGGCCTTTTCTGGGTTGTAGGAGGGTCTACAAGCCTCTGATTATTTTGGTTTGTTTCGGGATCCTAAATGTCCCTTTTTTGACCTTCTCTACCCAGTCTCAAGCCTCTGTAGTCCTTTTGCCAATGCCAGGTGACTGGGGTTGACCCCAGTGGCCTTCTACCTCTCCTTCATTGTCCTTGAGCTGTCCTGGCTTACCCAGGTCATATGATATGGGAGCATAAGGGGAGCATGCTGCCAGAATCTGGCCTCGTGTTGATGGTTGTGCTTCCTCTGCCCGTGATGCTGACGGTGGACTCCGTGGGGCTCTTGTGTGCTCTGCTTCTCACTTCTCTGGGACCGAGGACTTGGCAACTGCTGTAATATGCGGCTGCTGATAGGTTTTTAGTGTCCTCTGAAATTGTTCCCTGCTAGTTTTATTTGGGGTTAAAATAGCCCTTCTTTTGATGAATGGTAAAAACAGTAGATGGTGACTGTTGGCTTTTTATTTCCTAACTTTGCAAAGTAAAAATGTCCCCTAGATGTTTTGAAGCTCCCAGTCTGGGAAGCATTGCAGTGAGGAAAGGCTTGGGCCAGCAACAGGCTCTGCAGAAGAGAGGCTCATACATGTGGAGAAACCACATGTATGTGGATGGATCCGTACAGGCAGTATGAATCGGGCCAATTAGCCCTTGGCCCAGAGACAGATGTCTGTGAGGAGCTGGGAAGAGGCCCATTAGTCTCCAAGTGCCATTGTCTCTAGAGAAAAGACTCCAGAGCTGGGGCTTGGTGCCCTGGTGACAGGAGAGTTTCCAAGCAGTGAGGCAGAGCAGATGTGGAGGCTAGCAAGTGGAACCTGGAATGGAAATGAATACTTGCCATGCGTAAGTACTGTGGGCTCCTAGCTCTTTTGGGCATGCTAGTTGTCAGGAAGACCATAGGCTCTTAGTTCTGCAGGGCAGATTGGTTACCAAGGCTTGGTGTTATCCTGGGTCCCAATTAGTAATCCGTGCCAGGGCCTTATGACCTTACTGTCCTCTGCTGTGGAATAGAGATAGAACCTTTTTTTTTTTTAAAGAGAATAGTAAAAAAAGAACAATAACAAAATACAAACAAAACAAAGCAAGGACATTAAAACTGATATGGGGTTTCAAACCAAAGGATAAGAATTAGCATTGTTTCTTATATTACGTATTGTTATCTTCAGTGAAGTTGCTCAGATTATCAGATGTAAGAATGGAAGATTGATCAAACCATTAAAAAGAATAAGAAAACAATAATTTAAAAAAAAATTAGAGACAATACGGAGTTCCACTAGGCAGGATGGTAGGAATTCACCAATGGTTGTTATATTGCATATTGTTGTCTTCATGTCAGTTGCTCAGATTACCAGATATAAGCATGCAAAATTGGTCAAAATATTTTTTAAAAAAACAAATTTAAGCATTAACTCTTCCTTTCAATAAACTACCAGACATCAGCAGTACAGTGTGGGTCCAATGTATTTCACTTATGAGTATGGTCTCTAGTTGCGTCCATGGAGATAGAACCTTTGTTCCTACCCCAAAGCCCAGGGAAGGCTCAGCCTGCAACCCCCTACCAGATTTGGGTCATTTTATTGAGAGTGAAAGGAAATGATAGGACTTCATGAGGATGCAGGTACTTTTCTGTACCTTTTATTTTCTGTGAGTGGGTGGCAAGATTGCCTGCTGTGAGGGGGCAGCAGTGCAGAGAGCCTCTTTCTCCAGCACTGCTGGGCCCTGACATGCAGGTTCCAAGTTTGGCAGAGCAAATGGGCTCTCTCAGTGTCACTCGGAGCTGGTCACTGGTTGGGGGGAACTGGTTCAAACACAGCTGTGTTGCTTAGTGTCATCTCAGAGGCTTGCCTCCTTTTCAGGTTGGATCGTCAGACACAGGCAACCACCTTGGTGCATCAGATTTTTGGAGGCTATCTCCGATCACGAGGTGAGTTAAGATGTTTTCTCCATCCCACTCCAGCTTGACATTAACCTAGAAAACCTTGAGAATTTGTGGGCTCTTTCCTAGCTGGGCAGGCCCAGTGCATCATAGAGGTCCTGAGCCTTGGCTTACTGTTTGGCCACTCTGCCCACTAATTTATGACAATGTCCCTGTGACAGAGTTAGAGAAAAGTGGCAACTGTAATGATAATGTGCTTTCCTACCTTGCTGTCCTCGGTCCTCCAGGTGCAGTAGTTGTTCTCCCACTGCAGAGCACTGCTGGTCACCCCAGGGCAGTCAGTGGTCAGTAGTAGACAAGGTCAATACTGGGGAGGCCTGGCATCTTGTGAACATTGCTGGTGGGGGACCCTCTTCCACCTCCTGCCTCCAGGGCCTGGTCAGATAGATGATCCTTTTTGACAGAAGCAGGCTGAGAGTTCTGCCCGTGCAGTTCTAGGTGTGGGGAGCCTGGCAGTCCCCTTGTGGTTGTGGCTGCTCACTGCTCTTTGTCTGTTACAGTGAAGTGCTCCGTGTGCAAGAGCGTCTCAGACACCTACGACCCCTATCTGGATGTGGCGCTAGAGATTCGGGTACATGTGGGGTTCTGGGGTCATAATTTCATTGGGACACTGAGGCAGAGAGCCTGGCAGGGCAATGAAGGCATATTACCAGAATAGATGAGGAAAAGAAATACTTAGAATCCAACTTACATTAGAAACTGATACTCCTTTCATAAAAAAGAAAAAGAAACAAACAAACTGAATTTTGTGTCCTGAGCCATGAACAGTGGCAGCTCTGTCACACAGGCTTGAGAGAGACCCTGATGTGCCAGGGAGCCATTCCATGGGAGCTGCAGACTTTGGGGCACCGTGGGCTGGCCCTATTCTTTATTCTAGCTTACTGTTGCTGGGCCATGTGAGCAGATCCAGCTACAATCTAGATGAAAGTGGCTGATTCACATGGCCGACCTCATGTGGCTGTCACTTGTCACTGCTAGAAAAGGGACACAGCCTGGCTCCTTCTTCCTTTGCAGTGGGTATTCCAAGTCCCAGGAGGTAGCAGCTAGCAAGCCAATTTTTATGCAAGTCAAGTTCTGTGATTTGCTGCCTCAGCCTGAAAAAGACCTTAAATTTGGCATATCTTGAGTCAGCCTTTTTCTCCTGCTGTTTATCCCGTTTTATCCTTCTCAGCAAGCTGCAAATATTGTGCGCGCTCTGGAACTTTTTGTGAAACCAGATGTCCTGAGTGGTGAGAATGCCTATATGTGTGCCAAGTAAGTTTCACCTTGCTCTTAGCAAAAGACTGAACATCCCGAAAGCTGTAAAATAAGTCACCTGATCCAGTACCCTTCTTCCACTTCCTTAGAGGTGACCCTGCTCACATGGCCTAAGTAGTCTGTACATGAGTCTTGAAAACATAGCCCTCCTGCAACACAGAGGAGTAGACATGAATTTACACAGCACTCCTTACTGTTCTAAAAGGTCTGCAGATAGTAACTTGTGACATAGGGACAACTGTTATCCCCATTGCCCAAGGTAGCAAAACTGAGGCTCAGAGGGGAAGGGAATTTGCCCAATCTTATCAACAGGATGTGGCAAAGAACCACCACACCATCCTGCATTTTAGATAAGATGTGGTCTGTGGCTCTAACTTGAAGTGTCATGGGCATTTTACTATTTCAGCAGATATAACACATTGTCCTTCAACATCTACACAGTCTTACTGAGTGACTGTCTTTATACGTAGGTCACCATGAAGCTATAATCACCCCTGAAAAACAATTTCTTAATCCTGCTTTTTAAATTTCTAGTTTTATGCTAAAACACTATTTTTTATTCCTCAGCTCTAGAAGCTGTTCACGTCTGTCTCCATTTCCTCCTGCCTCCTTTGGTTGTCTTTTGGCTTTGTTTGCGTTCATCTTCTGCTTACCCATTTTGTCATTTTCCCTCATCTACTTAGGTTTGTTCTGACTCAGGACATACTGATTTTGATGTCTTCTTGACAGGTCTCGGTCAAGAAGTCTCCATTATCACAGAGTAGTTGTTCCTTTTATTAATATAGCATGAACACAAGTTTTTCAGAGCACTCTCCAATACCTTTTTCATTCACTTTCTTCACAGATGCAAGAAGAAGGTTCCAGCCAGCAAGCGCTTCACCATCCACAGAACATCCAATGTCTTAACACTTTCCCTCAAGCGCTTTGCCAACTTCAGTGGAGGAAAGATCACCAAGGTGAGGGTCCACCTGCATCCCAGTCTACTCCATGGGTCTTGGTGTACATCAGATCAGCTGGACTGTTTTATATAAGGCACAGCTTCCTGGCTTTTTGCTGGAGTACAGGACCCAAGAATCTGTATGTCTTCAAAATTTCTAGATGATTCTGCATAATGCAGTTTGAGAACTGTTGTCTTACTGGGTTTTTTCCCTCAACCTCTGCCTGCTCTTGGCCTTTTCCCAATATGGAGCACCAGGGTTTCCTTGAGAAATAAATATAATGAACACTGGACTCTGTAGTGCTGATCTGCTGTATGCTTTTGATCTCTAAAACAAGTGCAGTTGCAAGAGGTGGCTTTTTGTGGAATAGAGTAAAACTCTTGTTTGCACCATGGACTTCTAAGTAAAGATGTATGTGGTTCATAAAAATCTAGAGTCCATTCTATAATTAGAGCCTGATTAAGTGGTTTGGGGCAAAGGACTTGTCTGAGTCTTAGTTTCAGCAGGCCTTGTTATACACTGTACTAAGCATGCTGCATTTTAAATCTTTAAGAAGAAAATTGAGCATGAAGAATTCTCTAGACATAGGGAGAGGAGTCATGCTAGCTAATCCTGCAGTGCTTTCATTGTACATGCTGGGCTGGTAACTCAAAGAGTGAGGAAGGTTAATGTGGTTTTGCCCCAAGGAGCTTGTGTTCTGTTAACACACCTTGGAACTTGTTCCCCAGTGGAATCCAGTTTGAGAAGCATTAGTCTCTTTGACTTCTGGGGCTGCATGTCTAATAGGGTTGTTTGATTGAAGCTCTTGAGCCCTGGTGTATATTGGCTTTTGATATTTGTCAGTGCTAGGAAAAAAACATAGGTGAATCTCACAGACATTATATTGATCAAAAAGAAGCCAGCTAAAAAAGTATATGCTATATGAGGACAGTGAAGAATAGGCAAAATTACCAAATGGTGAGAGAAGATAGAGCAGTGGTGTTTAGATGCAAGTGATGGCACGAAGGATCCTTCAGGGGCCTGGATGTCACTCATATGAGTTTCTGCCAGTGTGCACTTGTCAGGAGCTCCCTAAATGCTAAGACCTGACACACTAAGATCTGTGTGTCTCATTCCATAGATTGTACTTGATTTGTGCACTGGGTGTGGTGTTGCAGACTGCTAATCCCAGCTACCCGAGAGACTTAAGAGAGGAGGAGCCCAAATTTGAGGCCAGCCTGGATAACTTAGTGAGACTATACCAACATAGAAATGGGCTGGGGTATGCCTTAGCAGTAGAGCACTTACCTCGTATGTGCAAGGCCCTGGGTTCAGTCACCAGTACTATGATTTGTATAAGTAGAAATGCAGACATACTGGCTATCGTTGAAAGATAATTTAATAATATTTTTTCCTAAGAAAAATTTTCATTTCTAGAGTAAATTAATGTTGGCAGGCCTCTGGCCCAGTACATTAAAATTTTAACTTCCTGGGGCCATTATTCTGGATTGGTCAACACTTTTGTTTCTAAAGACCTAAACCCAGCATAGTCTTTGTTTTCTCTCCCAACAGTGTTCCTATAGAGCAGAGGGAAATTTTTTCTATAGAGCAGAGGGAAACTTTTTCTCACTTTGCAGCTGGGTAAGACCTAGTAAGTTTAGATCTGTGACAAAGATAAGTATAAACTCAGTCACTTAGTAGGATAATAACAGTTTCCTATAGGTCAGGTGAACAAGATCCACATGTCAGCTGCTTGTCTCTTAATCACTGTGTGTGGAGGGATGTTCTGCAGTGTTCCTATATACCCATTTGCCCAGCTTGTTAAGAGACCAGCCCAGTCAGGCATTTCATGTGGTTGTGGGTAGAAAGGGTCAATTGATCCTTACTCCCATGGATGAATACTATTTGCCTTTTCATTGAACTTTTCAAACAGGATGTAGGCTATCCAGAGTTCCTGAACATCCGTCCATATATGTCCCAGAGTAATGGAGACCCTGTCATGTATGGACTCTATGCTGTGCTGGTCCACTCAGGCTACAGCTGCCATGCCGGGCACTACTACTGCTATGTGAAGGTGAGCACTGGCAGATTTTGATCAGTCACTCCAGATAGTGGCCTTACACTGCTTCCTGGGCAGGTTGGCAGTGGCCATGCAAATCCAGTTTTAGTTTCTGCACATTTATTCTGTGAAGTGACAGATGTTTTAGAACTATGTTCAAGTCCTTGTTGCTTTAGTACATTCAGTGAAAAATCTGTCTTTAAGAAATGATCCTATTGAGTCTGGTGTTCTTAAGACTTGTAAAAGACCTGGAGAAGTAGCTCCTTTGTCTTTAGAGTTGGAAAAATTTCCTTGGAGGCGAGACATTGGCAGAAATTCTGCAGTGTTTGGATCTGCCTGGGCCTCTTTGAAAAGGATACTAGGAAGGAAGTGGGACGAGCTCATGATTCAGGGTCACATTTGGAGTGATACAGATAGTACATACTTTGAGGAGGGGTCAGCAGTGGTTAGTTAGCACTTGGATACAGGTAGCACCTAGCGCCACTGTCTTTGTAAGTAGTGGGGATTGTGGAATGTGTACTGATGGTTTCATTTTCTGTTTCCTGTGCTGTCCAGGCAAGCAATGGACAGTGGTACCAGATGAATGACTCTCTGGTTCACTCCAGCAACATCAAGGTGGTTCTGAACCAGCAGGCCTATGTACTCTTCTACTTGCGGTAAGGAGCCTGCACCCTCCGCAGATGCACTTGCACCCAACCAGTGTTCCCCCCAGCCATTTCCTGCCTTGGAGGAATTGGGCATTCCATAGGAGAGGAAAGACTTGGGCAGTTACAGTCAAATGTAATGGAGCATATCCACTGGGAATGACCCTTTGTAGCCAAACCTACCTGGTTGTCAGTAAAACCTGAAGCTTTAGGGAAGGGCAGAATGGGATCCCATCTATCCCCACATTGATGCTACTCTGAACTTGTATGGAGCAGTTAGCTGCTTGCTTGCTTGCTTGTTTGCTTTTTTAGGGATATAAATACTGGGAATCAAGTACCCACTCTTGGGGCGCTTTAGCACTGAGCTTCATCTTTAGTCCCTTTTTATTTTGTTTTAAGACAGGGTTTAGCTAAGCTGCCCAGACTTGGCTCCAATTTGCAATCCTCCTGCCTCAGCCTCTCGGAATACTGGGATTAGAGATGTTGGCACTAAGCCTGACTCACCTGTATTCTTACATTATTGTCCCAAATTGGATGTGTTGCCCTGCATGGCAGTCAGCAGACACACCTTCCCTTGGGGCAGGGAAGGTTGCTACTGGGGGGCCAAAGCAGCTGTTTCGTTTTTGGGGGTTTTTTGATTCAGGCTGGCCTTGAACTCATTATGTAGCCCAGGCTGGCCTCGAATTTGCTTTGATCCTCCTGCCTCAGGCTTCCAAGTACTGGGGTTAGAGGTGTGCACCACCATACCCAGCAAAAGAGCTGCTTTGGGTGTGCCTTTTTTTAGAGTGGTCATCAACCTGGAGGTTGGAAGACATGGTGACAGGTTTTTGCTGCTTTGTGTGCTTTCCTGTGTTTGGAAGATGCATTCAAGGGGTGTTTTGCTCTCTGATGACTTGAAAATCTAATCCCAGAAGACCTCTTGGTTCTGCTATGGCTGAAGGGTGGGGCAAGAGTTAGAGAAGCATGTTAGGACATTTGGGGTTCCTTTAGATGGTTTTCTTCTTCATGTCTACCTAAAATACAGAAACACAAGCCTGAGATCAGGTTACCCTGATTCTGCCTCACTTCTACCTGTGCCAGGGCCCAGGTATAATCCTTGGATCTGTATAAGGTTGGCCTAGGTCTGTCGAAATCAACACAAGCACATTGGAGTAGTTTGCTCACGTGGTTCAGAAACAAAAATATGCATACGTACATCTACACACGTGTATGGGCAAAGAGTGCTGAGGCTTATGTGACAAACGCGAACACTAACTCCAAAACGTAAAGTTAGGGAATGCCTTGAGGTCACCATCACATATTCAGACTTTTCTGTTGAAACCGTTAGGGACTCCACTTTACTGTCAGGGTCACAAGTCATCCTTTATAACACCAGGGCTTGAGCATGTGGAGTCACCCCCTGAGTGACTGTTTCTGATGCATTCTTCAGTGCCTTTGGGCTTGCATAGGGATTCCCCTAACTTGGTTCCTTGCTCTGACAGAATTCCAGGCTCTAAGAAGAGTCCAGAGGGCCCCATCTCCAGGGCAAGCTGCACCCTTCCTAGCCGCCAGAGTGTGGTTCCAGATCACACCAAGAAGAGTGCTGGCAATGGGGTCACTTCCTCCCCAACAACTGCAAAGGTACTGCTGAGGAAGATGGGGTGGCAGGGGTGCTCTTGGAGCTTCTGTCTTGGCATCTTGAAGATTACATGAGTCTCCTCATGCAGGACCTTTGGCCAACGTGGGAGTAGTGGGCAGACTGTGATACTGTGTCAGCTGATGGTATTTCCTAAGTTGGTCACCAGCTGCGATTGAGTAGAGAGAAGGAGGACAGTGATGAGAGAGCCTGACTGAGCAAATTCAAATTTTAATGCTCAGTGTGCCAGATGCTGTTCTTTGGTGCCATGACAGGTGCTCTAGGCAGGCACTGAGCCTCAGGGTCCTGGTATGATCCTTGGATCTGTATAAGGTTGGCCTAGGTCTGTCGAAATCAACACAGGCATATTGGAGTAGTTTGCTCACATGGTTCAGAAACAGAAATATGCATATATACATCTACACACATGTGTGTGGACAAGGAGTGCTGAGGCTTATGTGACAAACGCTAACACTAACTCTGAAACTAAGTTAGGAAATGCCTTGAGGTCACCATCGTGTGTATTTGAACTTTTCTGCTGAAACAGTTAAGGACTCCACTTTACTGTCAGGGTCACAAGTCATCCCTTGTAACACCATGGCAGAGCATGTAGAGTCACCCTTCTGGGTGAGTGTTTCTGAGCCATCGCTTCCTTCCCCTGGAGAGGTAAACCCACATGCAGTCAGCAGGACCGGCTTTGGTCATTTACATAAATGTGTTTTTTCCTTCCAATGGTGGAGAGAAGAAATTGAAACTAGAAGCATATGGATCAGCATAGGAATTAAAATACACACTGTCGGGCTGGAGATGTAGCTCAGTGGCACAGCACCTACCTGACAAGCACAAGGCCTTGCATTTGATTTCTGATACAAAAAAAAAAAAAAAAAAAAAAAACACACTGTCATTGCAAATGAGAACTGCACCAACTGCACCAACTGCAGTTGGTGGCCACTGCAGCCAAGGTCCAGAAGCCAGCAAGCCTCCCTAGCTGCAGGATCACCATGGAGCAGAGTAGAGTGCCTGTGGGCAAGTGCATTCCTGCTTGCATTCCTGCAAGGCCACTTGACTTGCTGCTAATATTTTCATTTCAAAAACACTTTTCCAAGTATACTGCAATTAAGTAATCATTTTACTTTAAGATTGTGTGAGTTTCAGTATGTGTATAAATGCTCAAGACATGGAAAGATTTTGCAGTGCTTGGAAAAATGTATTCCCATTAGAATGCAACACTAATAAGGAATTAGCTATTATAAAAATATGTACAAAATTCAAAAGGAAACAGAAGTGAGTTTTAATTAAACTCTGGAAGTAGCAAGACTTTGTAAATTTAAAATTGAGAGAGAAGCCAGATGTGGTGGCATATACTTTTAATCTCAGCTACTTGGGAGGCTGAAGCAGAAGGATCGAAAGTTGAAGCCTTGCTTGGGCAATTTAAGCAGGATCTTGTCTCAAAGCGGGAGGGGCTAGCCAGGGATGTAGGTTTTAGAGTACTTATCTACCATGCATGAGTTCCTAGGTTTAATCCCCAGTACTAAGAAAAGAAAGGAAGAGAGGGAGGAAGGAAAAAAGTGGAGAGAGAAAATGAAATATAAGTTGACTAAAGTAAAACTTAAAGCTTTATCTGTAAGATATTAAATGATGAAATTTTTAAATTATTTGTAGCAAGGGGCTGGGAGTTTAGTTCATTAGTAGGGCGCATGCTCCGAATTCACAAGGCTCTGGATTCCATCCCCAGAACTACAGAGAAAAAAATTGCAATAAAAAGTTACCATTTATAACATCTGATTGAGTGGGATGGAGGGAGGCAGAGGTGCACACCTGTAGTCCTAGCATGGGGAGACTGAGGTAGGAGGATTGCAAGTTCAAACCTTGCCTGGACAATTTAGTGAGACCCTGTCTCAGAAAATAAAAAGGCCTGGGGATACGCTCATTATGGAGGCCCTAGGTTGAGTCTCTAGTACCAAAAGACAACAGAACTCAATCAGGATGATTGAACATCACTCCACACTCCAAGGATACAATTGGTAATATAATAAGAGCCAAAAATAGTGCCAAATTATTGTATATTTTGAAAAAGAAATAAATAATTTTCAGTAAGAGTAAGTGGAAGTTAATGAGACTAGCCTAGACTCGGCATTTCTAGAAAATTAGTAAAGGTTACTAGTTTCAGAAAAATCTTCAATTTTTAAAAAAGTGTGTGTGTGTATGTGTGTGTGTGTGGTACTGGGGTGTGAAACCAGGGCTTCCTCGTGCTAGGCAAGTGCTCTACCAGTGATCTATACCCCTAACCCTAACCCTAAATGTGTTTTAGCACTGACTATGTATAAGACTCGGAGCAGGTTGGGAGGACTGTGGTGGTGGATGAGAGAGGTGCAGGTAGGGGCCGTGGGTCGGGGCCGTGGGTCGGGGCTTCATGGTCAAGCAGAGAAGGGCCTGAACTAAGCACAGAAATGCAGAATAGGTTATTTTCACACTTCAGTGTTGTAAGGAGGAGAGAGGTATAGAGTATTGTGTTGTTAATTGTACAATAGGTAGAAAGTAAACGTACAAGGAGATGGTTGCTGCCAGCAGACACTGAACATGTTGTTAAGAGAATAATCTGTGAAGATGCTTCAGACAATAGCATTGAGACAGAACAGGGATGCAGCTCTGCAGGCTGAAACTGTTCTGAAGGAAAGACCAGGAAAAAGCACTAGCATTCTGATAAGTGGCTATGTGTAGGTGGTGGTTTCAGTTGGTATATATATGTTTAGGTTGGTACATTTTTTTCTTTCTTTTTTTTTTTGTGTGTGTATGTGTGTGGTACTAGAAATTGAACTAAGGGTCTTCACACTGAGCTATATCCCTAGCCCTTTTTATTTTTTATTTAATAAATAAATAAATAATGAGACTGGACTAGAGAGGTGCAGGTAGGGGCCTCATTAAGTAGCTAAGTTGCCCAGGCCAAGTTCAAACTTGTGATTCTCTTGCCTCAGCCTCCTAGAGTGCTGGATTACAGGTGTGCATCGCCATGCCCAGCCTCCCTTTTCTCAAATCCTGATGCCTCTCACAGTAACGATGCTCTTAACGATGTATGCCTGTGTGAACATGAGTTTGGCATTGATGAATCTGCTCAAAGCAGTGACAGAGACTTTACCACATGCCTGCAGTTTGTCCCAGCTTTTCACATTAGAGGCCACCCCTGCTCTGGGAGCCTACTTTGGCCAAAGGACAGCTGCCTGGTTTTCGGATCTCTGATAGTGCTTTCTGTCTTGATCCCCTTTAGCTACAAGACCCTGTGCTCCTGAGGAAGCCACAGGTCCCTGAAGAGATTGGTGTGCCCGTTTCCAGGAATGGCTCCATGCCAGGCCCAAAGTTACAGAACGGATGTGTACCTGCAAAGTCACCCTTGGGGTCCCCTCCCCCCAGACTCTCCCACACGCCCACGCACATGCCGACCCTCCTGGATGAGAACGGGAAGAAAGTGAAGAAGCAGGTCTCCTCACAGCACTGCTCCCCTTCCCTCCGAACTTCTCAGGGCTCACCTGGTACCAGCGAACCTGGGAGCCGACGGCAGAGCTCCTGGGACAGCAGGGACACTGTCCCTTCTACCTCACTAAAGCTCCTGGCTGAGGCCACTGCCAGTGGGCATGGGTTGAAGGGGGAAGACAAGAATGCAGACCTCGAGAAGGGGACTTCCAGCAGCTCCAGCCCGGAGCACTCTTCCAGCAGCAGCCCTAAGGTCCCACGGGCCTCCGAGGGTGGAGCTGCCCATGTCTGTGATTCTCAGGGAACAAACTGTCCCACCGCTGGTCACTCCAAAGCGCTGCCGAATGGGTTGGATACTAAGATAGTGAAGCTCAAGTCTCCTGTCCTGGGCAGCACTGCCATAGAGCCCATGAGCCTCATGTCCCCTCCACCAGCCAAGAAACTGGCCCTGTCTGCCAAGAAGGTGGGTGTGTGGGGGTCTTGTCCCTGGAAGTGTCTTGGGGCCCAAGTAGGTATGCTGGTAGTTGGGGAGTGGAAAATGGTAGGAGGCTTTGGCTCCCTTGGTTCAGAGGAGCAGGTGCCTTTGAGGCATCCTTGGGAATTCACAGGTTACCCAGGACAGCTATCTTGGGGTGAAGGTGGTGGGGGTTTGGCTGAGGCCTGTTGTTCCTGCTGTGGATAGAGTGTCCTGGTTGAGCCACAGGCCTCCAGTTCTCCCATGGTGGGAGCAGGGCCTGAGGGGAGCCAGAGCCCAGGACCCTCATGCAGAAGTCCGGGCTGGGGGTGACCATGTGTGGCTTTGAACTCATGGGGGCAGCGACATGATGCTATATTGTTGTGCTGAGATTTTTGTTTAAATTTCCTTCCTTTTTCCTTTTTGTTTCTAACCAACAACACTTTTCTGATTCTTCTACCATTCCCACCCTCTACCTCCCTCTTTTTTTCCCCTCTTGTCCCCTCATCCTTTCTGGGCTTTTTTATTTTTTTATTTTTATTATTTTATTTTATTTTTATTTTCCCTCTTCTCCACGGAAACCTTTTTTAGACCACCAAGTTTTTATTTATGTCAATAACTGCAGGCCAGCACCCTTCGGAGGGCGACCGGCAATGACCTCCGTTCACCTCCCCCCTCACCACTCTCCGACCTCACCTACCCCATGACAACCACCCACCCCGTCGTTGCCTCTACTTGGCCTGTCAGTAAATCCAGGTGAGCCAAGGCACCAGCCCTCCCTCCAGGTGCCATCTATCTCCTATGATTACACATACCAGGCTGTTGAAAAACCCTGGGCCATTGAGGACTTAGGTTCCCTCTTATCTGCTCTGTCCCCATCTGTAAAGGAGCCTTGCTTGGCCAGAGTCAGTTTAGTCCCTGAGTTTTGAACTTTCGTCTTTTTCATCTGTTGGTCACATGCATGTCATGACCTGGTATGCTATGGATTACCCTGTTCTAAGTGCCTGAGTGAGCTCAGAGGGCTGTGAGGCCTTCAGGCCTTCCTGCCAGTGGCCATTACGCCATGGTCTCCTGTCTCTTTGTCCCTGGAGAGCACCCCTCTGGGTCTCCTGCCATGGCTGCATGGGCTTCTAGAATAAGGAGACTAGATTCAGGCTCCCCCAGATACTCTTTCTGAAGTCTAGTCCTCCTGCCCGGGTGAGACAGTGACAAGGTGCTACATCCCTCAGGTACCTGATTGCAGAGTTGAGAGTTACTGACAGATCACTGTGTCCTGTGTCATCTGCAGCTAGGGAGGGAGGAAGCAGAGAGCAGGGGCAGGTGGGAAGAGGTCCAGCCTTCTGTAGCCCCTGAAGGAGATGTCTTACTGTCCCCCACCAGCATCGCACTGCCTCTGTCTTCCTTTCACATTTATACACAGGCCTCATCCCTAGCCTAGTGTTTTTCCACGTGGTAGGTCCATAAATGTTGAGGCATTTAGTGGGCATTTTTGTTTCTTAGTCATATAACCTTTAAAAAGAAAACTCCAGAAAACACTTCAGAGGTGGTCTGGCAGCAGTGGTGGTGTAAAGGATGATAGTGACAGTCCCTTTGAAAGCAGTAACCCTCTGAGGCTGGCAGCACTGCCACTTGTTGACAGATGAGACCACCACAGCTCAGAGAGAGTTTAGCTTGCCTGGGTCATTTGGCTGGAGAAAGGCAGGTTGCACTGCACCTGATGTGGCACTCAGTCCTGTCTGTCACATGTCTTGCAGTATGAGTTGACTCTGTTACTGTGCTCCCAGTTTTCTTGGCACCTGGGCTCACAGGGAAATAGCCATGGGAGGTATGTGGCCTACTCTTGCCTTTCTTGGCAGGCTTATTTCCTTCCAGGGATCTGTGGCTTTGGAGGTTTGAGGACAAATTCAGACAGGATTATTTTTCTGACCATTCTTGCTTAGTGAAGCGTGCCCTTTTTTAAAAAATACATTTGATTGAAAACTCAAAACATTAGCATTGGTAAAAATTCTTTGAACTGTTTGATCACAAGGAACTAATGCATACCATAATGAGGACCAAACCCCGTTTTATTGCACTGTATCCAGAGCCCTTTTTATTTTAAGACAGGCATTCACTAGGTTGTCCAGGTCTGGCTTAAATTTGTGATTATCATGCCTCAGCCTCTGAGGGCTGGGGTTATAGGTGTGTGCCACCACACCTGACTAATTTTATCTTAAGTAAACTTTGAATGCTATTGTTAGCCTGTCTTCAAACATATATGCTGTTTATGTGTGTATGAGAATTATAGGGCAAAAACCCTTTTGAAATTCTTAAGTAAAAGGTGATTCAGGGAAGCTGGAAGTAAGAGCTCCATACAGATCTTTCAGGATGACCTTCCTGTTACCTGTTGTCCCTACAGGGTTCTGTCACCTGCTCCCCGATCATCCAGCTGTCCCAAGCCTCCTACCAGCACCCCCTCTGCATCACTGTCCAGTAGTATCCCCCAGGCCCCACAGACATCAGAGCCACAGAGCTGCTCTTCCACCTGGACTGCCCTGCCTCAGGTCAATGGGGACTTGATGTCCCCTTCACACCAGCTGCTGGAGGCCAGCGAGGCCTCTCGGAGCCCCTCCAGGAAGAGGCACAGGAGCCCTGCGGGAAAGCCTCAGATGCTTGGCTCAGAAGCGGGTATCTCACAGCTCCTTGGGGGGGCAACTGCAATGCCTCGCAAGAAGAAGAAGAAGAAGAGGAGGAAGGGCGCAGAGGGCATGACCACGGCCATTCCTCAGGAGCAGGTGCAGGGGCCACCTTGGAGCCCCAAAAACAAGAAGAAGGGACAGGTAGAGCTGCCAACTCACCCATGGGAGAAGGAAGGCACACAGCCCCAGGTGGATAGCCAGCAAGTGGGTTACGTTCTGAACAGCCACCGTGTGAGCAGCAGGAAGAGGAAGAGGAAGGGAACGGAGGGACTCTGTGAAGAAGTTGGCCTTCTCCAGAGACCACCTTGGCACGGGTAAGAGCAGAGCAAGATATGCCAGTGTCCTCTTTCAAGACTGCAGAAACTAAGCAATCCAGTGCCAAGCATAGATGTGTTCTAGGTAGGTAGAATGCCGACCTGGACTGCAAACACTTGCACCTAGGGGAAATGTCTTCTGTAGTGAGCATCAGTGGATATCCATTCCTTAAAGTGATAGTGAGGGGATAGCCTCATCCAGGCCATGGCCATCCTGTATGTTTAGGTTGGTCCAAAGACATAAGGTCAGGCAACCTGGGCCAGGGAAAGCTGTGAGGTTTGGAGGGTTGCAGCAGCCGGTACCTGCAGTTTGTAGGACTTGCCACAGTTGGATTAAAAGTGTGACCATATGATATTCTCCTCAGTGTCCCTCATGCTGGATGTGTATCCATGGGCATCAGGTCTTTCTTGACCACTTCTCCAGGCCCAATGTGGTATGAATGATGTCACAGAGAACAGTTCCCGAGTTGTCCTCAGGGTCACATTGGGGGCAGGTTTCCTACAGAGCTGAAGGAAGTGAGTCAGGTGCCTGTCACTGAGCCTTGCTCTTGCCTTCAATGTGCTAGAAGGTCTAACTGTCACCTCTGACACCCAGCAGTTGCACCTCCACAGACCACGGAGAACGTGAGACCAGGGCAGAGTCCCCAAGGAAAAAGAAAAGGAAGAAAAGAAAGCATGAGGCACAGCAGGAGGAGGAAGAAAACAAGCATCCAGAAGACCCAAGGAGCACAAAGCCCAGTGTCAGCACAGGCATAGAGTTGAGTGTGAACAGCCAGCTTGCTGGGGACCGCCCAGGTGAGGACTTGGGGAACTCGAGGGCCCCTGATAACAGTAATGGTGGCGTTTCACCGTTCCTCGCTTCAGGCTGTTCTTGAGCACTGGCCATGTGTTAGCTTCCATAGCTGTGACATACCTGAGGTGATCATTTTAAGGAAAGTTGTCCTCTTGCCTTGGACCTGTGGTGAGGTAGCACATCGTGGCCAGATCATGTGGCAGAGCAGAGTGCTTACCTCATGGCTGGGGTCCCACTGTCCCCTTTGAGGGCACACCCCACTGACCTAAAAAGCCTCCACTTTCAAGGTTCCATCACCTTCCACTAGCACCTTCCTGAGGACCAAGCCTCCAGCCCAAGGGCCTGTGGGGATCTTTACAATCCATGGTTTCTGACTGGTAGATTCCAACTGGAGTTAGTTCCTTCTACCATTAGACTAAGGATTAACACTGCTGTTACAGTTTTGTTTTCTGGCTTGGCTTTTTCAAGAATTCACTTGAATAACAGCTATTGAGTAAAATTGCTAGTACATTAGCACTTCAGTGGTTAGTAAGTGAACATGTGTCATTAGTAAGTTCTGCAATTGTGCTGTCAGTGAGGGCCGTGTAGCAGTTCATTGTGAACATCTGCAAATGAATCTCTCGGCTACTCTGTTTACAGGGCTCGGACAGGCTCCTCTTGGACCGTGGAACAGGGAGAGAGAATCTGACGTGGTCCAGGAGTTGCTCAAGTACTCATCGGATAGGGCTTATGGGAGACAAGGTATGGCCCCTGCTTTCCTTGGTCTGATTTACCTGGAGGTGGGGTGGAAACAGTCCCTGGTATGCTGGTGTAAGGAGGAATACATTATCTGACTTTAAAAACAGGAAGAGGAATCCCCACATGCCCACCCCATGCCCCCAGCCATGGCACAAAGGTGGGTTCTGTCTCAAAGGTAGTTTCTGTCTGTGGTGTGATCCAGAACAGCACTTCCTGGCAGGAGTATCAGGGCCTCTAATAGAGAGGGGCTGATACAAATGATCCTCTGGCACCTGTAAGAGGCCACTCCAACTTGGAGCCTTTAAGTCAGACCACAGGAATAAACACGAGATTTTCTTCTCTGTTGAAGGCACGGGTTTGTAAAGAAGTGAGCTGTGTAATTGCTGATACAGTTGAAACAAAAGAATCATTGGTTCTACTTTGACCATCAAGTAAATATTGCACATTTTGTCCTCCTTTTTACCCCTTTTCTTGTCCATTTCCATCAAGGGATGGCACTTGGGCATTTTGAGTATCAAAAGTAGATGAGTTGCCAGGTGTGGTGGTGCACACTTGCTATCCCAGCACTTGGGAGACTGAGGCAAAAGGACCACCATGAGTTCGAGGCCAACCTGAATTATATAGTGAGACTTTGTCTCAAAAAAAAGAGAAAATCGATTGTTCTAGTTGGTACAAGTCCTAAGACCTGCTGATATCATGGCTGTGTTGTGCAGTTCTGACGTGGGATGGTGAACTGTCTGCAGTCAGTCGGGATGCTATCGAGGACAGCAGAATAGCCCAAACCCAGACAGTGGTTGACGACTGGGACGAAGAATTTGATCGCGGCAAGGTATGATGTGTGTGTGTGTGTGTGTGTGTGTGTATGAGATACTGGCTGATGGAGACATTGGGGTGGCTCGCTTCAGCTCTCAGCAGTGTGAAGAGCAGGCGTGGGGTAAAGTGGTTAAGAGTGAGGCTGGAGCCAGTTACCCAGGTTCCGTCTCCAGTGCATGTTCCATACTGCTGGCAAGGTCCTGGCCATTTGATGCTTCTGTGCCTTTGTTAGCACATCAGAGGTGGCAGGCCTCCCACAGGCTTGTGTGCAGCACATGAGAGTATGCCTGTGCCCAGCGCATTTGTGGTAGGGGCCACCTAGGTTCAGTGGAGCCCTCTCTGGGGATTGTGACTTCTGTGCTTCTTGATTTAGGAAAAGAAAATGAAAAAATTCAAGAAGGAGAAGAAGAGAAACTTCAATGCCTTCCAGAAACTTCAGAGTAGACGGAACTTTTGGTCTGTGACTCATCCAGCTAAGGCCACCAGCCTCAGCTATCGCCGGTGAACTTGGTGTCAGAATAGGTCAGTTTCAGGGTGTAAGTATCTAGTGTGATTGTGTCTGGGTTGTGTGTGCTGTGTGTGTCTGTGACATGTAGTGTGTAGATGTGTGTATGTGCCAGTCCTTTGTAAGAGGTGACCCTGTGGCATTTTCAGGTTCCTGTAGGGTGCACTGGAGAGTGGCAGAGTGAACTTCAGTGTTCTTGTTTCTCACCAGGAGGACCAGTGTGCCTATTCCACAGCCTCCTGGAGCCGTCACTTCCTGGAAACCATTTGTCTGGATCTGAGGAGTGGCCTCATGCAGACTCAACTGCCCTGTCACCTCTGAGGCTCTGCTGTGAGCCTGCTACATGGAGGGCCCTGCAAACAACCTGATGTGGAGGCCATGGGGACATTCACAACTAGTCCCACAAGAACCCTTAGCAGGTGGTATCCAGCAGAGCTGACAGCAACCTGTGGGACATTTGGAAGGGGCCAGCATCCTTGTGGTCATGGGCAGTAGTCTGGGTGGGCAAAGCCATCTGCTCCTGTCTGGAACTCACAGTGGGGACAGGACCATGCATCTCCCAGTGTATCCTGTGCCCAGGATGGCAGGCATACAGTTGGAGGCTCTTCCTGGTGAGCCATCCCTTCCTCCTGAGCCTGGCACTGTTCTGTCCTGCACCCCACTCTTCTTGTTCCCTCTGTGGGACCTGTATCTGTATGCCTTACTATGTGTCCTGGAAAGGGGAAAGCTAGTTCCCACCTGCACTGCCGTGTCTGCCTTTCTGGGAATGGCAAGGTAGTACTTCCAGTGCATCTCCAGAGAACAAAGGCTATTTGGGGTGGAGGAATCCTTGAATTGTGTGCCAATGCATCTGCTTCTCAGGCTGCTTTCTGTCCCAGAGTGACTTTTGCCATAGCTTCCCTGCAGCTGCAATAACCCATGGGTCTCTATGGAGGTGGTGGTATAAGGGATGAATTCTCCGTTATTTTACTACTTAATATAGAGCATTTATTTTTGACCAGGCCTGTGGCTTCCCAGCAGCAATATATTCCCCTTATAATATGCAAATACTGGCTTTGTGTGCTCAATTTTGTGAGTGCTTTTGAATCTAGATGATTATATGACTCAAGAAGATCCCTTTTTTATCTTGCTCAAGCTGTGCCTGTAGACTTGTAATTTAATAAACGTGGGACTCCTCAGTGAAAGTGGTGTTTCCAAGGAAAAGATACACCGTATCAGTAGAAGGTATAGAAGTACATCAGAGGGTCCTTCCTCATGAGATGCATCCCCTTATCTCCCCTGAGCTGTCCCAGGGCTTGCTGGGCATCAGCTGGCCCCCTGGTCTGTCTGCTGCCTTCATCAGTGCCACCCTTTCTTATTTGCTCTGCTTTCCGCTCAGGGCCTCGCTCAGTCCTTGGGTACAAAGAGGAGTTGCATCTTCATATGGTGAGGGACAGTTGAAGTTTTCATGCCAGTGGTTCTTTTAGGTTTTTCTCCCTTTTATATTTCACTTTAGGGAAATGTGGGAGGGAATAGTGATACCACGGCCTGATCACTTCTCATTCCAGCCAAGAGTGGATGGCAGCTTTGAATGCTGCTCAGGACAGGCCTGAATTAGTGTGCTGTGGCTTCATAATCTGCTGTCTCGGAAGGAAGGCTGACACTTTTGTGGGCAGGGCTTGCTTCTCCACCAGAGGGGTTGACTTGTTCTTACATTAACTGCTTCCCCGGGCATATTTATTCCATGATGCTCATGTTGAAAATGTAAGTTGTCTTTTAGCACAGCCTTGATCTCCTTTCTGTCTCTCTACCCCTTCTTCCAGTTAGTCTCGTCTTTTCCCCTAGAATGAACATTGTAGTACCTTTTCTTGGGGAGAATATCTCCATGTTCTCTCTGGAAGTGGTGAACCCTGGCCTGACTTCCTACAGTGTTTGTCACTGTTAGGTAGGGGCAAGTCCTTCCCTTCTGCAGAAAACCATCAGCCAGACAGGCACGAAGAAGAATGCACCCAGAAAACCATCCAAATTATAGGTGACATGTACATATATAAATACATAGAAATACCTAGGCTTTTATAATAGCAGTCACTTGGTTGGGTTAGAACCTGGGAGGGGGGGGTAGGGGACCCACGTGCAGTGGACCACCTCCCTAGTGTTCCCTGTCATCTTGCACATCTTCCATCATTAGGAGTTGTTCTCCCCCCGTGTCCTGGTTGTGTGGCTGCACCTATATGTGTAAGGGGTCCCTCCACCTTTTCCACTTTCTCTCCAGGGACCTTGGGAGCCCCAGATGGTCCAAGGTCTTGGTGCAATAAAATAATGTGTCTTTGTGAGTCCTTTCTGTGTCTTTGATTTTTTGAAAGATGCCTTCCAACCAACTCTTTGTTGGTTTCCTGAGGTCAAGTGAAAGATTATCTTTGTCATGCTTTTACAAAGCCATCCATAACAGAGAGGGTACCAGGCCTCTGTAGTAAAAAATACAAAGCAGGTCCTACTCAAGAATGAAGAAGCCAGGCATGTAGTACATTCCTGTAATCCCAGCGCTCTGGCAGGTTGAGGCAGGAAGATTGCAAGTTCAGCCCAGCCTGGGCTGAATTTAGCAAGACTGTTTCAAAACAAGTTTTAGCTGAGCATGGTGGCTCTGGAGCCTCTAGCTGTGGTGACAGGGATGCGTCTGGAAGGCAACACTGGTCAGACAGGCAAACCAAGTAGTGAGTTCAGCCTGGGCCATGAATCTGCCATAGAATATCCAACCTGGACTACCTAGTTCAAGGCAAGCCCAAACTGTATAACAAGACTGTCTCAAACCCATGTGCCCTCCCCAATTTTTGTTTGACTTTTTTTTTTTTTTTGAGACAGGGCACAGGTAGCAGGCCCTGATAGGTTTAAAGCTGACACACACAACAATACCCACAGTTTAAAGGAGAGGTTTAATTTAGCTCACAGTTTCAATGCACGATTGCTTGGCTCCACCGTAGAGATATAATGGGAGGGCATCGTGTAGCAAAGCTGCTTAGTTCATGGTGGCCTGGGAATAGTGCTAGAGAGGAAAGGGCCAGGGGCCAAATACATCCCTAACCTTTCTGGCAAAAGAAAACAGTTTCGTGGAATACAATTTTTCCATGGACTGGAAAAATCCCCAGGAGATAGATAATTTTGGGAAGATTCAAGGACATTCCATTTATTGTGTACTTTATTAGTATTGCATAGTCAGTGCAAAAACAGCTCTGAGGGGCTGGGGATAAAGCTCAGCAGCATAGCGCTTGCCTGGCAAGCACAAGGTCGTGAGTTCGATTACCAGTACTGGAGAAAAACAAAACAAATAAACTAGCTCTGAGCTTGACAGTGACACCAAAGTGTATTGCTTATGTCCATCCACTCTGTAATCTCATTTTAGTTGCTGTCTCTGCAGAAAACCTTCACAAAGATAGGATGTTGGAAATGGAATCAGGCTTTTTAGTGCTTTTGTGGCAATCTCAGGATATGCCATCTTGACTTCAATCCAAAACATGTAGATTTGAAGTCTCAAACATCCTTCAGGGCCACTGTCATTAATGGTCTTAAGCAGTTGTTCCTCTTGTAGCACAAACAAAGTCAGTTCACGTGGCTTACTCACAAATGGCTCATAGATCTATTTCTTGCCGGTTTGGGAGTCTTACATGGTTAAGAAGTAATGCTCAAGCTTTTTTTGCAAATTGAGTTAGGTGATCATGTATCAGCCTGAAGAAAGAAGGCCTGGACTCAGTTCCTTTCAAAATCTCTACTGTTTGAAACGTGTCAAAAATTCCAGTGTTGCCAGGTGTGGCACACACCTATGATCCCAGCACTCAGGAGGCAGGCAGGAAGATTGCTGTGAGTTCAAGGCCAGCCTGGACTAAGTAGTGAGACCCTGTCTCAAATGAACAAACAAACGAAAAACCCCAAATGTCATCACCCCCATAATTTCAATTTGGCTTTGAATGAGATCACTTTATCTGTTGACTTAAACACAGTCATCATCCTCCCCTTAAGTGACAAATTGAGTTCATTGACTCATTAATCCTCTTTTAACAATTGTGCCTTAGTATCCTCTGCTATTTTATCAACTCATCTAGTTCTGGTGTTACCTGAAAAAGGAACACATGCCACCTTTTAAACTGCAGCCTCTCCTAAAAGTTTGCAATAAATCCTTAGCAGCAGGCACTATCAATTCTTCTCCAATAATAAAGGGCTTAGCTTTAGCAATGCAGTCAGACAGTAAGTATGCTTTTGGTGTAGATGCATTTGATGAAGTGGTCTTCAATAATTGCTTCTGTTCTTCATGTTAAAATGAAAACCTCAAAAGGCTTGTCTTTTTCTTTCTTTTCGGTACTGGGGGTCAAACTCACAACCTTGCGCTTGCTGGGCAGGCGCTGTGCTGCTGAGCTAAATCCCCAGCCCCAGAAGCCTTATTTTTTAATACAGGATGCTTCGTCTCCATGAGGTGAAGCAGTTTTGAAGGTTTCATGGCTTCATTGGTCCCCACATACTATACAAAGAGGGCTTGGAGAATGTGAATTATCTGTTGTAATAATTTAAGGAAAGCCCATAATTTAAGGAGACTCTTGATGTTTTTCTTTCTGCAGATTGCTTTTTATTGATAGTCTTAATGTCTTCTACTTAGCATCATGGAGTCTTCCCCCATTTCAAAGAAGCTCTCCAGTGACATTTGTGTTTTACACATTTTGGCGAGTGGTAGCTTGTGGGATTGTAAAAAAAATGTCAGTCATGATAAGGTGTGTAAGAAAGGCACAGAGGAAAGCAGTGAAGAAAATAATGGGCAGGTCACATGCAGACTACAATAAGTGTTGGATTCTGACTGAAAGCCTGCCACCAGATACAGCTTATCACTTGCCACTCGCTGATAGTTTTGATGTGAGCCTGCAAGCAGTTAATTTATTATGGTCTCTGCTAATATTAATCTGTATTCTCAGCTGCTCTCCAGCACTAGCATCACTGCCTCAGCTCCACTTCAGATTATCAAGCATGAGATTCTCATAAGGCACACACAACCTAGATCCTGCCCATGTACAGTTCATAGTAGGCTTCATTCTCCTATAAGAATCTAATATCCCCACCCCACTCCCACTGCAAATCTGATAGGTGGGGCTGAGGGACTATAATGAATGAGGAGTAGCACTGTAAATACAGACGAAGCTTCACTCAGTTGCCTACTACTCACCTCCCGCTGTGTGGCCCAATTCCTACCAGACCATGGCCATAACCTGGGGGTTGGGGGACCCCTTTTACATAGTACCCAAGGGCACACCTGCATGACCCACCTGGACATACCCAAGAGTGCTTTCTAATCTGCTAGGTATTCATGCAGTAAAGTAGACCTATCAGGATTAACAGTCATGCTGGGGTGAGGGGCTATGAGTGGTGACTGGAGGGGTCAGCTGGCCTGGTTTGGGATAACATCCAGGCAGTAAGTCATCCAGGCAGTAAGTCAGTGCATATCTGTAATCTAGGAGGCTGAGGCAGAAGGACTACAAATTCAAGCATAAACCTGGCAGTTTAGTGACTTAGTAAGACCCTGTCTCAAAATTAAAAAAAAAAAAAATGTAACCCTCTCTCTGTCTATTCTGGCTCTGCAGAGTGAGCCCAGTGCTCTAGGCAGCATCCCCAGGGAGGAGCCACTGAGTGCTGAGACATAGGGACTCAGTCTATTGGGCTGAGACTCAGACAGCAGTGCTGCAAACCTGTCTGCATAGAGAGCTGTTGTCCTTGGCTGTGTCTCAGACCCCAGCGAGCACCAGAGTCACAAGAGGTCTGTGGGACACAGGTTTCCAGGTCTGCTGACATTCCAATTGTGCCTTCCTGAGGGTATGCGTTTCTAAGTCCCCCGGCAGCGGTGCGCTGCCAGGGCTCATACTGAGATCTGCCATTCTGATCTAGTGGCTCTCCAGTGGAGTAGGTGGTTGGGGTGGCAGTGTGGAGGGAGTCACATGCATGTATACAATTCCACAGCCACTGTCACCTCTACCCTGTCAGGGCATCTGCCATGGTCTGTACTACAGGGAGGGGTCTTCTCAGTGGAGGCTGAGGGCTCCATCTGTGCTTTCCCCTCGGGCCTTGCTTTCTGCTTCCACGCTCCATAGCTCTCAGTCTGGCTTCCACCCTTGTTGCTCTGTTCAGTGACCTAATTCTCAAATCTGATGGGCATTGGCCACCAGCTCTCCCTGGACCTTCTGAGTTCCTGTGCCCAGAGCCCTTCTCCTACCTCCTCAGTGTTGGTCTGCTGCATGGTAGTACTGAGTGTGCTGATCTTGTCCAGACCCATTGGCTCTGCTAGGACCTCTTCCTGGCTATCCTGTGGCAGATTCATAGCCCAGGCTGAACTCAGCATCCTGGTCTACCTCTCTGACCAGTGTTCCCGCCCACAGACACATCCCTGTCACCACAGCTAGAGGCTCCTTGGCTCTGAGGCACTTTACTGCCTCCCCCTTTCTGCTTCCCCACATGTGGACCTTGGAAGTCTGCTCTATCTGCTGCTGTCCCTTCTCTGTCCCCTCTGCTGACTCTCAGCCTGGGTCTGTCGTTTCCACCTAGACCCCAGCAGTATTCTAGTCTGTTGTCCAGGTTTTGTCCTTTTATTCCCCTGCCCCAGAACTGTGTTTTAGGACAGAAATCCCCGAGTCCTTTCTGTCCTGTCAGATAACACAATTTCCTGTTACCCTGAACCCTCGCCTGCCCTTCAGCCATGCACACACCTGAGGCCCCTGGGTGGCTGCCCAACATCAGGTCCTGCAGTCCTGGAAAGTGTTCCAGGTGTCAGAGAGGTCACCTTTGCCAATGTTCTGGCCCTCAGTGACTCCAACCCAAGGTGTCCCTGGGGCTGGTTGCTTCTTCCAGAAAAACTTCCATGTGTGCTTCCTGCTTTACAAGGATTGAGGCTGGCTCGTGTTGGATGAAGGTTTAATCAAGAAGGCCAAGTTAAAGTTCTAGGCCTGAGTTCTAACCATGCCTTCCCCAAGTCCAAGTTGTGCTTTCAAGTGAGTCACGTCACCTCTCCATGCTTTAGTCTGTAAAATGCAAATGCTATGGCTGTCCGCCATCATACTCATGCTGTGTCTTGCATATTTGTTCTTTTGGTTCATGCTTTGTTAGGAAGGTGACAGTGCTGGGACTCTGCTACTCAATGTCCTTTAGGTATTGGGTGAGAATTATAGTCACAAAATTGCTGTCCCTTACACAGATTCTAAGCTTTTAAGTGGCTTATCATGATTGGGCCACACTTTGAGTCTAAGTACCATTTTATTTTAATTTATTAGAACATGTGTATAGCTCAGTTGAGTAAATCTGAGCCTTCATTATC